GGACCAAAAAAGGGATTTAACCTTAAATTTTAATACCCACTTGTCCCAAAAATATATTCGATGCTAAATTTGATATCCTATAAAGTTTTATAATTAAAGTAGTGAAACTATGTGTTGAATGAAGTTCATATTTCTTTTTTCTTTTTCTTTTTCTTTTTTTTTTTCAGTAGTTTTTGAAGCAACCGTGCCATCATAAGGTACAACAATTCAGTTACTGTATATTGTGTATAATTTGACCTTTGGTTAGATACAATTTTATTAATCTTCTATCAAATTAAAGAGCAGTAGTGAGGGGTTAAAATTTAAGCTACTTATAGTTGAGTAAACTACCTTTTCTCTTCCTCATAGTCTTATGTTTATTTTGTACAAAAGCTGAAATCACTGAAATTTCTAGTGTTCTTGCTCATTTTTTCCCTCTCTTTTTCTCTCCATTTTTCCTTTGAGCAAAACGTTGCACTATGAAAGATATAGGTATGACTTGTAAATGTGGTCATGCAAGCATCATCAACTAATGATGACTTTGGGTGATGTTTGTATGGCTATGAAGAGCATAACAATGAAAAAAAGACAAACATCTCTAATTTACTCTCTTTTTTTTTTTTTTACCCTAATGTGAGTTATGTGTATGTAATTAACTAAATATTTTTTTCTTTATTTTAAGGATATCAAATTAGACATTAAAAATGTAATTTTCACTTTGATTAGGTGAATTTTATATGTAACTTCACCAATTGGTCATAATATTTTGGTTAAACCTCCAAATCTACCCCCCAAATAGAAGCATCAGGACAAATTTTTCCTTTAGAAAAAAACATGGACAAATTGTCCTTTCAAATTATTGATCAAGACAAATTACCTATTATTTAACGAATGGTGTTATCATATGTTAGTTTTCCATTAAAAACAAGTTTAGATGGCAAACAGATTCTTGACATATGATGATGTTATATATTAAATAATGAGTTATTTGTTTTAATCGACAATTTAAAGAAGCAACTTGTCCCTATCTTTTTTTTTTAGGATTGGATCTGTCCTTGCCATCTTATTTGGGGGGCAAATTTGAGAGTTCGGTCATAGTATTTCATAGGATTTCAAATTGAGTATCAAAGATATTTTTGGAACAAAATAGGTATTAATGACTTGATTTTATACTTTGATTATTTGAATTTTATATATTTTACTTTACTATTTCATGCTTGATTTCATTGACATTTGAACGAGTTGAATACTTATATGTGATTTTATTAAAATTACATAATTTTTATCAATTGTGTAAAAAGGACGAAGTGCATGAAATTAAAAATTTTGATATTTGAGTGCATCTCTTTCAAAAGCTTGGGAACCAAATTGTAATAAAAAAAGTTAAAATTAGGTATTAAATTGAATAAATTTGAATTTTGAGGATCGAAGTACACAATAACTGAACTTAAGGGTTAAACTATGTAATTTTACCATTAAAATTTGGAGGATTTTAATTGATAGCGTTGTACCATCTGTCAACGGATGGATTAAGTTTGACCCTTTCTTCCAAGTTGAAGGGTTATTATGAATTGTTTTAAAGTAACGGAATGACAATTACTTCTTTTATAAAGTTGGAGGATTTTTTAGTGACATTAATATCTTTTTTTCTACATGAAAAAGTTAATTGTTTGGGAGTATTAAAGAGTACGAACTCCTTATATCTTAATAAATTCTATGGTCTCAATTAGGCCTTCAAATTAGGGGTACGTGGTTTCGGATATTAGCAAATTAATTAAATTTTTTATTTAAATTTATGAATTTTAATTCAAATATTTCGAATATTTGGATAAATTTGGATAAAATTGAAATAACCAAAATTAATTTTGGTCCCGATATGGTGATTGATCCATATTTGAAATTATCAGTCACTAAATTATTCAAAATTATATAAAATTGTTTAATATAAATTTATTTTATTTTTCATTTGGTTTTTGTGTTGTATGAAAATTTTTTGGACAAAATTCTTTTTTCTTTAGTTAAATTTATAGATAAAAATATAAGGAAAAAAACTACATATAATCAAAATTTAAAAGAAAAAGCTTTTTAATGGCAAAAGGTGAAAAATAATGGTATATTTCAGCTATTTTAATTAATTAACTGAATTATCTAAATAATTTGGATAACCAAAATATAACCAAATAAAAATTTGATTCCAGTTAGGTATAAAAATCTTATCTAAAATTATTTCAAATAACTAAAAATTTAGTTTAGTTCAAACAATCCAAAACTGAATGTCTAGCCTTACTTCAAATTAGTGATTACCAATAGTCAACTCTTGTTGGTTCTTATATGA